GAAATGTTAGATTGTTGCTATATAGACAGGAAAATTTGTTCTGCAATATTGCCTACTGCTGGGATGATGGTTTCACCAACACAAATAATTGTGCTCTCGGTTACGAATCAGATCTGAACCACACAATGGTGATCCGGTTTGTGATTGACTACTTGGTTGTTACATTATAATTTGAGGATGCAATCGAAATTGCAAAGAAACTGGACGAGCACGCAGCTACGCCAGGATATAAGAAACCTTTACTATTTGGCATGCCCATCAGCATCAAGGAAAACATAAGGGTGATTCTTTTTAATATCTGTTTTTGATAGACTGAGGTTTAATCGGTTTTTTGTAGTAGAATAGAATAACTGCAATATGGAACTTTTTCAGTAGAATATTTCAAAAATGACATACTTTACCTAGATTGAACTTCCCACTTTTTTGCAGAAGTTTAATCTTTACAAAAATATGTTTTCTTCACAGGTAAAAAATATGTGCTCGACCATGGGCTATGTCCAAGAATTAGGAGCCCCATCCCGAAAGAACGCTGTTGTCGTCGAGCAGCTCCTTCACCACGGTAAATACGATCTTATCTCAAACAGCGAAAGTAAATCATTGATCGCAGATGTTTAGGTGCTGTTCCATTCGTCCACACAAATGTTCCTCAATCACTAGTGAGCTACGGATGCACGAATCCTGTTTACGGTAAGCTCATTTGGTAAGGGGTGGACACAATTAACTTTTGTTGCTGAGTCGTCTTCCCCCGCCCTCCAGCGACTTTTTCACAGACCAGGACCTTCGCCCGCTATATCTGTACCAGTATCAAGAGTAAGGCGGTGCGCGATCTGGTTTTATGTATTAGCTTCCAACTGTAGTTCTTATGGGACCAAAAGGCATCAGTTGCCCCCAATGAAGGCAGCTTGTGTACAACTTGTTCCTCGAAAATACTCACCCATTTCTGAGTACAGCACATGGTAATCTTTAGGCACAACTACAAACCCATACAACCCAGAGCGAGTTCCTGGAGGTTCCTCCGGTGGTGAAGCCGCTCTCATCGCTACCGGAGGCAGTTTGCTTGGTATTGGCACTGATGTCGGAGGCTCAGTCAGAATTCCTAGCACTTTTTGTGGCATAGCTGGCTTCAAGGTAAGCTGCATCGAGGGATCAATTCCGTGAAGAGCTTGGGAAAATGAATGAGGACAAACAGAGGGAGAGGAAAAGCGCCGATATGACTTGAAGTATGACACTTAGCTAGGGTAATCATTGCCATTTAACAAAATGTAAAACGAAGATATTTTGACAATCTGCTGCTTGGAGGTGTCTTTATTTGAGGTTGAGGGAATCTAATTTATCAACAGATTTTTTCGATTACCAAAGGCACACATTTGCCTTCTCGACTTTCGCCAATCAGTTTTTCCCCCAGATTTCAAGAAAGATTGCAATTTTTCGTGAGCTCGCAAACAACTGACGTGGAATGAGAACTTTATAAGAGGTATTGTGTAAAAGCAGCCTTCTCATCTGTAGGGGTCTTCCGCGCTCGTCGAGGGGCTGCGACTCCTATGACTCCTCTTCCCTTTCCCAATCTGACAGCAATTTTTCTCGGTCTTTTCCTTCCAGTCATAACTGTCTGAGGTGGAAAACAGCGTTGCATTCGGCAAAAATATCAGCAACACTAAATTATTCCTTTCAACTTGTTTCCATTGCTTGCATAAACTGAATGTTTTTCAGCCCTCTTCAATTCGTTTCTCTCACACTTTTACAACATCATCTGTTCCTGGCCGTCAACTGGTCACATCAAATGAAGGACCTATGGCTAAAAGCATCACAACATGCATCGAGTATCTCAAAGTTGTGAGTTTTCCTTTGCAGCTAGCCCAGCCAACAAATTATTTTTGTATATAGGCATGGTCGGACTTATTCCTTTACGACATTGATCCATTTGTTCCTCCAGTAACGTGGCAAGAAAAAATGTTTACTTCCGAGAAGAAGCTGAGAATAGGTATGGTTTAGTCCATTCACAGGTGATATAGTACCCTTGCGGTGCCGACAACATTTGCGCGGGGAAAGTGCCACTTAGAGCGTATTTGGAGTTTCTGCGCCCCATTGATATTCACTGCGCGCAGACGTTGTAGGAACACTGTATTGTCCGTCATACCTGCTACACCTCGCTTTATAGTGAATACAAAAATTTACATTTTAGGATTTTACACTCATGACGGGTTTATCACACCAACTCCAGCAAATCAGGTATTTTTTAGCGCAAGCAACAATATATCTCTCAAATTTCAATGTTTTTAGCGAGCAGTGTTGGAGGCAAAGAAGATCCTAGAAGATCTTGGTCATACGCTTGTACCATTCCGAGTTCCCCAACCAGAAAAAATGTTTCGTCTTTTTGCTGGAGGTGTTTCTGCTGATGGTGGAAAATATCTCACTAATAAGCTCAAGCAGGTATCCTGCTGCAACTTTTTTGAAGAATTATTACCGAGTTCAAAAAAATTTTATCGTACAGGACATCGTCCTGCCCGAATGCTCCGTACATCCAGTCATGTTACTTCCGATCTCTATTCAGCGTATCATAGCAAGGTTCATTAGTTATCCACGATTGCGAACATTATTGACATCGCTGCCGAATAATAGTGAAGGTTTGTCGCTTGTACACGGAAATCAACGAAGAAGGAAGAGAACGAGGAATGTTTTGTTACGGCTTGATCGAAAATTTCAGACCTACGCGATGTGTACGGTAAAATCGAGGGTTATCGCTCGGATTTCGTCAATGAGATGATGCTGCATAATCTTGACGCTTTGCTGTGCCCTGCCATGGTAAAAATAGTC